CCTTTCTTCCCGTGCAACCTCATCGCCTCTTTCCCACTCAAGTCTGGTTTGATGGGGTTCCTGTACAGGGAGGACCTTCCCCGAAGGCCCCCCATCTGCGAAAGCAGCAGCTGAGCACTAGAAGGCCCGAGGCGGAATCCTGGCGAGGCGCTCAATTCCTGAGCCACTTCCATCACTTTGCACTCCTGTCTGAAGGAAGAAAAGAGTCATTCGCGAGGTTTAAACTGAGCTTCGGCGCTTATCCTGGGGTTGACTCCCACCCTTGTCCCTCATGAGCTTGTGGGACTTTGGACCATTGAGGGGAGGCCTCTGGTTGTCCAGCTCTGGCTGTGACTCGAATCTGAGTTATTCTAAGATGAAGGATTGAGTAAACCAAAACCAAACTTTTGGCTCCAGATCTAAGGGCACCCTCTCCAATCAAGTATTGGTAGTAACATTGACTTGTAAATATCCATTGTCTGGTTCTTGTGTCTTATTTCTCAATTATTCCACACGTGGGAAGGGAAAAAAGTGTAAGTCCCCTTACCTTAGAACAACCTACCTTAGAGCGCCATTGTGAGGGTGGTATGAGAAATTCGTGCCAAGCACATTGCACATGACCTGCCAGGTAAAGGGTAGCCACCCCGATTGTATCATTTTGAGGAGTGAATGGGAAAGAACTGCTCCCGCGCCTGGTTCTCAGTGGTGCTAAATAAATGGAGTTAATGAAGGACTGTCTTTGCTCTTGGCTTAGGAGCTAGGAGCCCAGGAGAGATTTGGCACCAAGTGGTCAGAGAGCCAGCCCTATGACGTGGAAAGGAGCAAGGGAGCCTTTGTAATACTCCTGAGCGGTCCCGACAGCTGATGGGTTTTGCCCAGTGTCAGGTGACCATATCACCCAACCAGACCTCTTTAGCCAGGACAACAGCCATACACTGGGACTGTCCCAGGCAAGTCAAGATATATGATCGTCCTAGCGGCTAGCCCAAAGCCGTACGAATAGCTTAGATCTGCCGCTCTCTGTCTCCAAGGCCTTTCCCATACTTGATGTTATTTAACACCAATAACAGCCGTGTGAAGGGATGACTCCCACAGTGAGAGGAGGAGCGGGTGCTCCAACCTGTGCTGCCGACTTGGCTCAGGGATGGTGTTCAGCTCTGGGCGCTGGCCCTCAACTCTGAGACTCACGGCTGGCTGGTTGAGGGAAGCTGACTCGGTCTCATTTCACAGGGCCCGTGTCATGCCGCTGTCCCCTTCTGGGAGGACATGTGCAGAGGGGCTCCTGGTGTTGGTGTGAGGGGTTAGACCTGATGATTTCAGAGGCTCCTTCCCTACTTTACGTGTGTGTCTTCAAACTCCTTGAGAGCAGGTTTGGTGTATTTGAATTCTCCACATTCAGGAAAAGCTACAATAGGAACACAACCCCAGGAGCAAGACAGCCCTGGGACGGGGCTGGACACCCTCATTTGCTGGTTGGGGGCCGTGTGGCGAGCCCTTGCATTTTCTGAGCTTCGTTTTCTCACCGGTAAATGCAGATTAGTTTGCTCCCTCCCTCCCCGACAGATTGAGCTGGAACAATAAAATAAATTAGTGTAAGTGTACATTGTAAACAGAGACGTGCTGTACAAATAGCAATGTGTCCGTTGCCGGCTTTCAATGTTGTTTCCAAATTGCTTGTCTGATCCATTTATAGACAGAAGAAGAACAAAAAGGGGCCATGGAAAGAGCCCAGGCTGTGGGTCAGACAGCCCGACTGGGATCCCAAAATAGCAACCACTTGTGTGACTCCAGCCCCGTGGTGTCCTTTCCAGACCATGTGTGGCTCCCTTCCATGTGTGTTTTCTATGCTCTGTGACCATCAACCTGCACGCTTACCACCATGGAGCAGCCGCCTCGGGCAGCTTTGTGTGGGGTCCTAAGGCCTTCTCTGTGGGGAGCGGCTACAGCGTTTGGACAGGTTCAAGCCTCAGACTAATGAGAGGGCACGGTCCTCTCGTGGCAAAGCCCTCCCAGCACAGTGACAGCCAAAGCCTATGGTTGTAAGCTTGACCTTATGGTCCGAACCTGTGGGCCCAGGTGGCTGAGTGATATGGGCGGCGGGAGGTGCAGCAAGTGCTGCCAAAACAAAGCTTGATGGAGTTCAGGTGCATGTAATTGAGTAGATCTGAAACCCCTGAGAAGGTTGTAAACATCTTGACCTTGCCCTGACTTTGCCTCGTGGAATCTGCTATAAAATAAAGACTCAGCTTGCAGGCGGTGGCACTGTCTCTCCATCAGAGAGCAGAGTCCCACCCAGACCCAGCTTCATTCTTTTGTCTGTCTTTTCTGGTCCTTCACCGCCCCCTCAGGTTCACCCCTGGCCGTGCTGCGCGCAGCACACTTCTCCCTCAGCTCATGGGCGCCTCTGAAAATCCTTGCTGGCAGGGACACTGGACATCCACTCCACTTGGTTTGCCCTGAAGATGTGTTCTGTTGATAACTCATTCCTACTCCTCGGAAAACAATTCTATAAAAACTCAATTGCTTTTCCACTGGCTCTGGGCAGGGATGAGGGAGAGCACATGATTATTTTATAAAAAATACTAGAAGCCTGATGCACCAAATTCGTGCACGAGTAGGCCTTCCTTTCCTGGCTGCTGGCACTTGCTTCCCTCTGGCACCCGGGACCGGGCTTCCCTCACAGCCCATAAATAAAGTTAATAGGTAATTATCCAAATCCGGAGCCAATTACAGAAAAGGACGTCAACACGTGCCTAAACAAAGTAGTGCTTCTGCACCCGCGGCCCCCTTTACGTCCAGGTACAAACAAGAGCTTTTCCTTTTAACCAGACTTGCGTCCCTTCGGCTCAGACACTCCAAGCCTGGAGCCCCTTGTGGTCGCTACACTGGCGCCCTTCCTCCCTCCTCTCCACCATCCTTCAGCCTCTTCCCGGGGTCTGCATCCTCCCTCTCCCTCCCTCCCCGCC